GCATCAATTAGTCTGCTAGCATTCAAAGCAAACCTTGCTACCACCTTGGGGCCCAGCATTACAAGCTGCCAGGCCATCTCACAAACTTCTGCAGGTGTTTCTTGCCAAATTCCATAGTGTTTTATTCAAATGCAAATCATTTAAATCAGGTGATCATTGAAATGCTTCAATACATTTGCACCTCCAGCATGCTTAATCAAAGAATAAAATGCTTAAAACTTGGCAAGAATTGTGTGCAAATCCTTTGTACCATCATTTGTGACAGGTGTACTATAAAGTGGTAGTGACTCTCTTTTTCTATTTTATAATAAAGCTTATCAGTAGGTAAAATGAAGATCTCCTAAACATTGGAGATATTCCAGTGAGCAGCAACCAGTAACGTTACCGGCACATGCTCTTTGAAAGGACAGCATACTCATGCTGTCCCTTCAGAGCTCTGTGCCGTGGCTGTGACTCCCATGCACATGAGTGACACCAATGCAGCTCAGCCAAATGGCTGGGGCCCGCAAACTCGAAAGGAAGACCAGGTGAAGATGAAAGCCCTGTCAGCGGTGACAGCACACCACTGGAGGGCTTTGTTTCAAGGCAAGTCTCTCTCTGCAATGCATACTAACACATTATGATTTTACCTTGCAGGGAGGCTTTTTTTTTTCTTGGAGCTTTACTACCGCTTTAAGCGAGAATGTTCTCTGGACCAGGGTTCTGTTTTACAGGACAGCTGAGTGTAATCTGTACTCTCATTTCAATAACAAGTTCTTGTTTATGACATCAAAGTTTGTACAGAACAAGGTATGTGTATATATATATATATATATATATATATATATATATATATATATAAAAAAAAAAAAAGTGCACAGCAGAAATATCCAAAACTCACCATCCTGTGTCTGCATCTCACTGTACCATTTACCTGTAGAAGAAAACCCTGCACATTTGTTTCAGCAGATGTATAGCAGAGAAAAAGTTATTTTGGTACATTACATATTTAATGTACACGCTTCAGTGACATATTCAGAATGGTAGTGAAAACAAACTGATAACAAATGTTTTATACATTCTCCATCAAAAAAGTAAATATACATGGCAAGCAATCCATGACAATCAGCATATGATATGATCTTAACAGAGCCACATCTAGCAAGATGCCAACAAATGCCACAAAAATACAACAATGCATCCTTTTTCTTAAAAACTGCAAAAAAAAAAAAAAAAAGCAATAGGCGGTATCAAGAATTGCTAGCACTTTTACCAAGTGATTTTATTTATCTGGTACTGAAGGGTTAAACCACTTGATGGCAGTCATTAGTCCTTCAACACAGTGAAATCATACAAGCAAAGTAGATGTGGTGACTTCCCAACAGTGGTTAATGAGCCCAGTAGTATCAGAATAAAACTGAACCTGCAAAGATGTGAGATTTTTTTTTTAATGATTGTGAACACAGGATTCACCAATCTCAAAACCCCACGTGTACGCTGTGTTGCCTCTCCCCCTGAGCTCAGGAGAAGAGAGCACGTGCAGGGATTTAAGACTGGTAAATCTTCTGTTCACAAGTCACTTGTTGCCTACAGCAGTCAGAATGGTCTTTCATTCTCTTATAGTGAGACATTAGAGGGCAACTTTTGTTGATATGGGTTACATGAACTGTTTCTCCATCAGATTTATTTACAGGTGAAACTCAAAAAATTAGAATATTGTGCAAAAGTTCATTTATTTCAGTAATGCAACTTAAAAGGTGAAATTAATATATGAGAGACTCATTACATGCAAAGCAAGATAGTTCAAGCCTTGATTTGTCATAATTGTGATGATTATGGCTTACAGCTCATGAAAACCCCAAATCCACAATCTCAGAAAATTAGAATATTGTGAAAAGGTGCAATATTCTAGGCTCAAAGTGTCCCACTCTAATCAGCTAATTAAGCCATAACACCTGCAAAGAGTTCCTGAGCCTTTAAATGGTCTCTCAGTCTGGTTCAGTAGGAATCACAATCATGGGAAAGACTGCTGACCTGACAGTTGTGCAGAAAACCATCATTGACACCCTCCATAAGGAGGGAAAGCCTCAAAAGGTAATTGCAAAAGAAGTTGGATGTTCCCAAAGTGCTGTATCAAAGTACATTAATAGAAAAAGGTATGTGGAAGGGAAAAGTGTGGAAGAAAAAGGTGCACAAGCAGCAGGGATGACCGCAGCCTTGAGAGGATTGTCAGGAAAAGGCCATTCAAAAGTGTTGGGGACTTTCACAAGGAGTGGACTGAGGCTGGAGTCAGTGCATCAAGAGCCACCACACACAGACGGATCCTGGACATGGGCTTCAAATGTCGTATTCCTCTTGTCAAGCCACTCCTGCACAACAAACAACGTCAAAAGCATCTTACCTGGGCTAAAGAAAAACAGACCTGGTCTGTTGCTCAGTGGTCCAAAGTCCTCTTTTCTGATGAGAGCAACTTTTGCATCTCATTTGGAAACCAAGGACCCAGAGTATGAAGGAAGAATGGAGAGGCACACGCTGCAAGATGCTTGAAGTCCAATGTGAAGTTTCCACAGTCTGTGTTGATTTGAGGAGCCATGTCATCTGCTGGTGTTGGTCCACTGTGCTTCATTAAGTCCAGGGTCAATGCAGCCATCTATCAGGAGATTTTGGAGCACTTCATGCTTCTTTCCGCAGACGAGCTTTATGGGGATGCTGACTTCATTTTCCAGCAGGACTTGGCACCTGCCCACACTGCCAAAAGCACCAAAACCTGGTTCAATGACCTTGGGATTACTGTGCTAAATTGGCCAGCAAACTCGCCTGACCTGAACCCCATAGAGAATCTATGGGGCATTGCCAAGAGAAAGATGAGAGACATGAGACCGAACAATGCTGAAGGCCGCTATTGAAGCATCCTGGTCTACCATAACATCTCAGCAGTGCCGCAGGCTGATAGCTTCAATGCCACACCGCATTGAGGCAGTAATTGCTGCAAAAGGGGCCCAAACTGAGTACACATGCATGCTTATACTTTTCAGAGGTCCGATATTGTTCTATGTACAATCCTTGTTTTATTGATTGCATGTAATATTCTAATTTTCTGAGATTGTGGATTTGGGGTTTTCATGGGCTGTAAGCCATAATCATCACAATTATGACAAATCACAGCTTGAACTATCTTGCTTTGCATGTAATGAGTCTATCTCATATATTAGTTTCACCTTTTAAGTTGCATTACTGAAATAAATTAACTTTTGCACGATATTCTAATTTTTCGAGTTTCACCTGTATGCATGATAGGTCCCTGCACTAAAAAATTGGATCTGCTTGGTCATCACATATATGCAGCAAAGTGACAGTGTGTCTGCGAAAGGACCCTCAGATGTCCTATACGCACCTTCTAAGTGATCCTTCTCCACAGCCCAACACTGAATGATTGACGTTGGCGATGACAGGCCTCCAGACATGCGATATTGCGTGGATTTAGTGGCTGGCTGTTAGACCTGAGGACATGGGGATATGTAAAAATCAATCCTACTTACCTAGGTGGATACACCATTGATCCAATGCTGCATCTGCCTGTAGCCACCTCTACACAGAGAACTCAGTGGTCGAAAACCACGGATCGCTCAGTTCTTGGTCTTCAGATAGCAGAAAGCCAGTCCCCAGCTCCCTGCTCTGCCCCTCCAGTGCTCACTGTGGAGAGGGCGGGAGCAGCTGTCTCAGGCTCTCAGCAGCGAGCGAAGAAGCTAAGCCAGCTGCAGTTCAGGCATCTGGGTGGATCCTGACATTAAAGTCAGGATCCTTGCAGAGCCCGGACTGGCTGAGTGTTGACAGCCGACAACGGACTTTAGCCCACTATTGCCTGAATAGGGGTTACAGAGATGCAGAACAAAGATCACTGCTGTGACCTACAGGAGAAGTAAAGCCAAATAAGCTTTTGCACCCTACTTCTCCTTTAATTTTTTAATATTCCAACAACTCCGTTATCTCAATGCTGAAGCTTTTGGTAACCCTATTTTGTACTGATCAAAAAACATGCATTTAATAATCTAACAATGTGTATGCACCCAAGCACTGTGTTTTCTTCCAACTGCTGCCCTGAAAAGATTTTTGCAGGTCTACCCCAATTAGATTGTCCCTAATTCTATTATTTGACTATAATAAATGATAAACATTTTAATTGTTTCCAAAAATATGGTCCAGGGATCTGAATGCAAACATTGCTATCACAATAAATAAAACGTGAGATACCTATAAAAATAAGATCTAATTCCTTCATAGTGGTTTATGTTTGTATATAAGTGAACCTCCCAAGTCCACTAATATAAGCTAACAGAACGTGTTTTCATCTTCAGATTGGTTCCTTAGTACATGGCTGGACTCTGACATTCTTAAATTATATTCAAGCCCCAACTCCTGGTGCCATCTAATACCAGAGTCTATACTGGCCACAGACTGCCTAGCAGGGTGCCCATACTTTATCAGTAAGGATAATCTATACATATTTCACATTTTGGTGGACATGACAGGTTCACATTAAACCTCAATTTTACACTTAAATCCAATGTGTACTGAAAGATAAAAAAAAGTATGTCTATGCTTTCATCTTTTACAATAGTCCAAATCATGAACTAGAGACATGAAACATCAAATTATTATTTAGTATGTAAAAAAGAAGATACATATCCCTACAGCATGCCACTTCATACAGCAGCCCAATGTGGTTTATTGTCCATTTGTTGGAATGCCGCTAGTCAATTTGCAGATAGACATGGTAATCTTACCAGGTAAACATGACCATACTCATTCAATACATTTTAGTCATTGTCAGCTGCTCACATGACACAACCAGAGAGGCAGTTTCCTCCCTGAAAGGCTCTTTATTTTATAGTGAATTGTTGCTGGAGTCCAGCAGTGGAGGCTGAAGTCCATAAGGATGGTGCTCCCCCCCCTCCTGGTGCATCATCCCTTACATGTCCCCTTTCTAGCTAACATCTTGGGTAATGTCAGTTGACCGGAGTTCAATCCAAACTAACGTGCATTAAACCTCCGTGGTTCGTTGCAGTCTTCGATTTCTTCATTTTGTCAATAGCTTTCATTAGATCTTGTTGCTGAATAGGCCGTATCTCCTCACCAGGGCTACAAAAGAATGGAGAGACAGTTGATCACTATTTGATTAGAGGTGGAGACAACAGATAGAAACATCACAAATAAAACTTCTCTGCAAATGCCACTCTGTGGGTATACGTCACTGCAATTTGCCACATGCTCATTATCCATGTCCTAATGGTGGACATATCAGTAAAGGAAATTTACAATCACAAAGTGAATTCTAAACCAAATCCATTCCGTATAGCCCACTGAGGGTACAGGTCAAGCTAGGAGTCTGCCCTGACTCCATATAATCCGCAGAACAAAGAAAGAAATCTCAGCCACCGCACACCATGCAAACCCAGCGTGTAACAGGTGATAGCAGACTCAGCCTAACTTGTGGCATGGACTAGATAAGAGTTAGGCTGAGGCTGCTATCACTTAATACACGCTGAGCTTGCATGGAGTGCAGTGGCTGAGATTTCTCTCCTTGTTCTGCACACAAAGTGAATACAACTACAAAAAACAAAGTCTGTAACTGTAAGCTGCACTTGGCTAGAAAACAGGTATTCAAAATGTCAACATGCTATCTATGTTATAATTGCACAAATACAGTACAAATTGTCACTACTAAAATGAGACTTCTATTCTGAGCAATTTTTGGTCAGGAAGGCTTAGGTCAAAACCAGCTCAAGGTTAATAAAAAAAAAAAAAGAAGAAAAGCCTGCAGGTGAGTAAAAACAAAAAGGTTTCTTTTCATGAGTTAACTGCTCTCAGTAAGAAAACCTGGCCATAAGTCAAAGATACCATTTCCAGAGGGGAACTGCTACCACCTTCCTGTGTTCCGCTCAAAGTCTAAATAGTCCAGGCGGTGAGCAATGTAGATTCATAGGTACACCAACCTTTCCTCGGCGCCACTCGTGACACAGTCCCTGACACACAGCAGAGCAGCATCCCGGCACATTTCCTTCAGGTCACTTCCAGAAAAGCTATCGGTATTTCTCGCGACCTGCGTCAAATCCACATCTAGGTCCACCTATTAAGGAAAAACCAGCCTTACAATGAATTCTATCATTCAAATATATGACTATATTATTGTCTTATTTAGGTGACAATCATTCTAGCAGAGTCCAGCGTACCTAGCCAAACTAATCATTGAGGCTAAGTTCACACTGTTCCATGTGCATGCAACGCAAGTGACAGAATATGCATAAAGGTGAACAGGCAGATATAATTGGTCCATACAGTTTCCACCATAGAACACACCAAACTGCAATCTATAGCTGTGAACCAACCACATAGCAAAGAATAGGATTTTTAATTGAAATGCATTTTCATTCAGCAAAATGCATGAATTTTGCTGCATGAAAATAGTGTGAACAAACTATGGCAAAAATGTGTGAAATGCTACTGTCATCCTATTTTCAGTTGCCAAGTTCTGAGGTTGTTGCTGTAATCCTTTCTTTAGTACTTTGCGAGTTATTGAATTGGAACAGACATGCAGGTTAGCAGTCCTGACTTTTCTGGCGGCATACTTAGCAAGATATCCCAGTTGGATTTCTGATGTTGACAGGGGAACACAGCCTAATCAAAACTGTCATATCAGGTCACTTAACATAAAACTCCTCTTATAAACAGGTAAAATGAAACAACTTAGCTGCTTACATTCTCATTCCTCAGTATGAGATTAAGAATTGCTTCTCGCTGTCTCAAAGACTGAAAAGGAAACAAGAGAAGTTATTAGTGCATGGAGAAATATAAAAGGAAGGCAGCCAAACTTTACTTGCAAAATATTTTAATTCTTTAATAGAGGTGCAATATTCAAATACGCGTCTGTAATTACATTGACGTAAATATTTGCATTTAGCAGAAAATAGAACAATCTTAAACTAATGCGATCCAGTGCACCTAGAGTATGCATGACAGCACAGCAGGCGCTGGGCACAAAGACTGGAAACCACCGAAAGAATGTAATGTCAAATCTACCAAAGCATCCAGTTGTCACCAAGCCATTATTCCTTATCTACTGAGCAGAGACTAGCCTTTTTCTTACAAAATGTTTTACTCTCCATGTAAAACACTTAAAATGCTAGGTAATGTTACCTCCTGTGAGGCTTATTCCATTCCCTAAAGTGGTTGTAAAGGCTCAAGGTTTTTTATCTTCATAAAGGGTAAAAAAAAAAAAAAAAAAAAAAACCTTCTGTTTGAGGCAGCCCCCTCAGCCCCCCCCCCCACTACTTATCTGAGCCCCAGCTCAATCCAGCGATGTGCATGACAACCTCTGCTCTCTGGGGACTCTTTCTCCTCATTCGCTGAGACAGCAGCAAGAACCAAGTCACTGAGCCAATGAGAAGAGAAAGCTGATACACAGTGTTTTTGCACAGAGAAGCCCCAATCCTCTTCTTCCGCTGGTGCTTCTGGCCCCCTCCCTCCTGCTGAATGCCCCCAGAGAAAGCAGCTTGCTATGGGGGCACCCAAACCATGTCACCAGAATGTGATGTACGGGCACCACTCCTCTCCTTCCACCAGACATGGTTTAGATAGAGAGAAGAGGAGGAGGTCACCTGACCTGATTTTTTTTTTCATTTTTCAGAGATTGTTAGACACTTAATTTTTTTTTTTAGACTTTCCAAACTGAATCTACCAATCAGAGCCTAGCAAAAGCCCCTGTGCCTCTACGGACATATATCTTTCTCCTCCATAAAACAAACTAAACAGTATGCAAGCACTCTGAAGGTCCTGCAAATACATTCCCAAACTACCCTGAAACCCAAGGAGTTTAATTATGCAAATCTAGAATCATTTTGGGAACTCAAACTGTACTTCAAGGTATAAATAGCCTCACTGATGAATGACAAGGTTCATCAGGATTTGCGCAACCCCAACTTTTGACGCTCATAAATCATTGTGTAGCACCAGCTAGCAAACATTATTTACAGTGATTGTAAAGGCTCAAGGTTTTTACCTTCATGCATTCTATGCATGAAGGTAAAAACCTTCAGTGTGCAGCAGATCCCCCAGCCCCCCTAATACCTGAGCCCCCTCTCGTTCCAGCGATGTGCACATGAGCCTCAGGTCTCCCATGTCTGTCTCTCCTCACTGGCTGAAACAGCAGAGGGAGACATTGGCTCCCGTTTCTGTTAAATCACATCGGCAGTTCAGGAGCAAGCCTGTTTGGGTGACCCCATAGCAAGCTGCTTGCTGTGAGGGGCACTTGGCAGGAGGATTCAGGATTGCCGGAGGGGGGACCTGGAGAAGAGCAGGATCAAGGCTGATCTGTTCAAAACCATTGAACAGAGCAGGTAAGTATTACATGTTTATTATGAAAAGAAAAAAAGTAGCCTTTAAGTCATGACCAGTGGGTATAGCGGAAAGGCACCTCTTTTGTCACACTACTGTGCCTTTACAATGGCTTTAACATTTAATAATAATGGTAACCGCCATCATCATTCCATGATAATCAACATACCGGCTGGTTGATATGAAATCTGGTGGGCATTCTCCTCATAATTGCTGTGTCCAGATCTTGGGGGCGATTTGTGGCTCCCATTACAATCACCTGTAAAAAACTAATAGCATAAGAGACCCAGTATTTCAAAAGACATTGCCATGCAGATATTCTTATATAAAATACTATCATAGGCAGAAATGTCCAAATGAATGAAATACTTACACATGTAGACATATATATATATATATATATATATATATATATATATATGGAAAAAATGAAAATGACTCTAGGAACAACTAAACCTAAATTATTTGGTAAACACTACTCAAAAATTACCGAGGTTCTGTCACAAGGTTACTAGGAATGTACTTAATTTTTTATATATATATATATATATATATATATATATATATATATATATATATATATATATATATATTTCCATGAAGGCTTGCAACAATCACCTATCCGTGAAAAAGGTTAGACCATTACATTTTGCAGAAATAATTATATTTCTGGACACTTTTAGGTAGGATGTCAGGATCTACCTAATAGAGACTGACAATGCTGCTTTCCAAATAGTTGAAGCCCTGAAATACCCTTCTCTTTTTTTTTTCTTTTTACAGGCATTCATGCCACTGCTATTCTTGGAGCTTGGAGGGATGGTGGTGGAGACGCCTTGTGATGATCAGCCATTCTGCCAATGTCTCATCTCCCGGTCAAATAGCGCAGAGCGTGGCAGCAGCAGTCTAACTGGAGTACAGACACCATATGTAAAAGGCAGATACTTCACAGGCTTCTGCACACTAGGCCTTCCTTGTGATGAGCTGGGTGCGGGAGTGTGGCAGCAGAAGTCTGACCACAAAAGAACAGGCATGCTGTGCGTATGCATGGTTTCCTTTAGCTTGCATAAGGTAGTATCAATCTTCCCATTGCACTCTTTCCAGGATAAGGATTTAGGGGTAACGGGTGCTGCAACAACGACCAACTGGAACTGGAGACATCACAGATCAAATGTGCATATTTGCCAACACACCACGGATCATCAAATACATCCAAATCTTTAGTGAAGAATGATCACAGAAGACATAGTGCAATGTTTCAGAGCCGTACAGGGCCCCTTTGGCAGGCTTGTGAGCACATGCCTGACAGAGGGGTCCTGCGAAGCTCCGAAACATTGCACTTCGTCTTCTGTGATGTGATCATTTTTCAATAAAGATTTGGACGTATTTGATGATCCATGGTGTGTTGGCAAATATGCGCACTTGATCTGTAGCTTGCATAGACACATGTTCACTACGCCAGGGTGGATTTCTCTCCATGCCTGGTGTAGTCAAATTAAAACAGAAAAGCAGGAGGACTGGCAAAATGAACAGGTATTTCCTTGCCATTTTAGCAATACAAAGAGAACAGGATACTTTTTAATACAATTATACAATAAAACAGATAAATATCTGAAATATTACATTTTGGTGTAACACTCACTTTAAAAAAAAAAAACAAAAACAGCTGTTAGCCGTGGATAAATACCTGACAGCTATAATCTGTATCCAGTCCATCCCACAGACTCATAAATTGAGCTTTCATCATTGCTGTTGCCTCATGGTCATTGCTTGAACGACTCCGAAGGAAAGAATCTTTATACAGAAGAAAAATGTGAAAATATTAATATAATATATTTCGAAAGCGGATGCTGTATGATGACTGCATCTATCAATCTGTCCAATACATCATATAACCCATATGATCCCAAAGTAAGGCTCCAACTGAATGAAGATATTTTTGAATTGGAGGTCGTCTGCTTCCATTTCCAATCAAGTGGTAAAATGTGCGGATATATGGATATAATTCAACCTTAAATCTTATATCCAAGAAATATTGTGTTTTTTAATGGAAGGTTCCATTAAACTTGAAATAAAGTTAAACTACTGGTATTCTCAGTAAGAAATTTACCAATTTCATCAATGAAGATAATAGATGGCTGAAGTTTCACTGCCAGTGAAAACACTGCAGCAGCCAGTTTCTGGGACTCCCCATACCACTTGTCTGTCAGGGTGGATGGCTGCAGATTAATGAAACGACATCCTGCTTCCTTGGCTGTTGCTTTGGCAATGAGAGTTTTACCACATCCTGGAGGTCCATAGAGAAGCACACCTATAAAACGTAATAGCACACAATTATTGATTACTAAATAGGCTAATTTCTGAATGCAAATAATGCAAATATTTAATGAGAGACAGCCAATCAGAAATCACATTTTTTTCCTCATCCATTGAGGGACACAGGACTTCATATACAATTGGGTTACCGAAAAAAAATTGGAATCAGGCAAACGAAAATCGTAAGCCGTCTCCCAGTATAACCCCTCTTCTACCAAGCATGCTTCATTGCTTTTGGTGGTGTCCGAAGAGGATGACTTTTCTCCAATTCTGCTGAGAAAAGCCTAGGAAAATTTTGTGCTAGCCCTTTTCTTTGTTTTTTTTTTTTTTTTTTAGTGGATTCCTTTTCTACAGACTTCAATGAAGATTCCTTGCTACATTTCTGCATAAGCTGGTCTCTACATAGATACACAACTAAACAGAACAGCATTTCCTAAACCTGGCTTTGGAGACTATACTGGGACATGCCTGACTGGCCATGCGGAGTTAGCCTGGAATGTGAACTTCAGACACTGGGCTCTGCATTGTGATACTGACTTAAGTGCACTGCTGAAAGAGCTTTTCACGTCACAGCCCTACAGTGTGACACTGTCTGAAGACCTGTTCTCTGAGCTACAGCTGGAGCCATTTCACTAACCTCATTGTTGGATGCCTCTCAAGTTTCCTGACACACGGTAAGGGTTAATACTGAGGAACTGGGTGCTGACCTAATTTGCTGGTGAAGCAACACAAGTGCACTCCTTTTCCTACCGTTCAGTGTAAAGGAAGCATCATCCCACTGCTGCTCCTGCTTGTAACTATGTTATTGGACTACAATCTCCGGTCCATTTCCACTGCCATCCTATAGTGTCTTGGTCATCTCTGGCTACCCAACACTCATTAGCACACATTGCCTGGGTTTGTAAATGAGTCCCATATTCCCCTAGTGATTCCGAGAGCATCTACTCAGGGTCCTCTGAGGGAACCGATGTCTGTAATCTGAAATTCACTGTCTCAATAGTTATTAGGGTATGCAGTTCCACCCAAAATACATCAGCCTCATCACACTCTCCATCAACTGGGTCCTCTTTCACACTAGGGCTCTGAGATCACTTCTCACATAGAGACAGACACTACCAACTTTCCTATTTGCCTTTTCTCTGTGAAAGAGAACATATCCAGGAATATTAACGGTCCAGTCATGTGAAGAATGAAGCCAAGATTCAGCAATACCAATTAAATGATAGTTCTCTTCATGCACCAAAGCTTCCAACTCACCTACATTGGTAAACAAAACACTTTACTGCATTGACACCTTGTGCACACGCATTTTGCATATTTTTCATTTTCAAGCAAATGCTACCAATTCCACTGGTTGTTTGTAACATGGAAATCTTCTCATCATCTGCCATAGCCTTCCCCCCATCTTTTCCCCATTGCTCCCACCAATAAGTACTGACCCATGTCTGATCGGTCTACCCAGTTATAATCTAATTCTCCCTCCCCCCTCCATCCTAGTTTAAATACTTCTCCAGCCTCCCCATAAACCTCTCCCCCAGCACAGCAGACCCCCTCCCATTTAGGTGCAAACCATCTCTAGCATATATGTTGCACTCCAATGAAACGTCAGCCCTGTGCTATAGAAACCCAAATCCTTCCCTCTTACACCAGGTCTTCAGCCATGCATTGAGTTCTCTAATCTCCCCGTCTTTCCTGAGTTGTGCATGGAACAGGGAATATTTCAGAGAATATCACCTTGGAGGTCCTTCCCTTCGACTTGCAGCCTAGTTCTTTAAATTGATTCTTAAAGAGCCTCCACCTTCCATGTATTTTGTCATTGGTTCCAACATGGACCAAGACAGCTGGGTCATGCCAAGACCCTCTCAGTAATTTATCACCCCGGTCCACCACATGCTGAACCCTGACACCAGGGAGACAGCAAACCACTCAGTTGAGGCGATCTTGGCGACAAATTATTCTATCAGTCTTTCTGATTATAGAATCTCCACACAAATGTGTGAATGCAAAGCACTAAATACCTTTGGGTGGCTGCAGCAGTCTCGAGTTCTCAAATAAATGCTTCTTTCTTATTGGGAGAATAACGGTATCTTTCAGATCTGTTATCACATCATCCAGACCGGCAATGTCACTCCATGTCACCTAGTAAGGGAAAAAAAAAAATACGGTTACATGTACTTTCCACTCTGCCCAACACTTCCAATAGGGGTCATTACTGGCTATTCTGGAATAATGATCTGGAACCTTTTGTCATGATATCCTAACAAGACCACAGAATGTCACTAGGATGCCATTTACTATTCTCCATACTGTGTGCAGGACCAGTTTTATTCATATTTGCTGGATGAGAGTGCTCTGAAGTTCCATTATGTTTAGGTATATCTGCTCTGAACATCAAAACAACAACATAATTCCATAAAAAGCACAAAAAGCAAAAAATACATGTGGACTACTCCACTCTAAATTGACAGTTCATTGTATTCTATAAGGCAACTGCTATTACTTGTTGCAGAACACTAGCAGTCGCCACTTTACAGTGGTAGTGTCTTTAGTGTAGGACTGTAAGACTGTAACACAGAGGCTGTGGTAGCAGGATATGCAAGCATACAAAACAAAGTATTATGGACTGTTAGGGAAGGTTAGAGTGAAGGTTAAAATGGATGTAAAGGCAGAAGTTTATTTTGTTTTTAACCTTAAAGCATTCTCTGCTGTATTAAAGTAAAAAAACTTCTATGCAAAGGATCCCCCCAACCCAGCCCCCAGAACCCCCCTTATATTACCTGGGCCTGATCTCGATCCAGTGCACGAGAGGAGCGGCTCTCTCCCTCCTCCCTCTGGCTATGGAGACAGCAGTGGGAGCCATTGACTCCTGATGTTGTCAATCAAATCCTGTGACTAGGGAGTGGGGGGCCGTTTCAGAGCCGCACTGTCTGTGTCTATAGATGTAGGCAGTGCAGCTCGGGATCAAGCCTGCACAAGTGCTCCCATGAGAAGTGTTTTCCTATGGGGGCACTAGCAAAAAAAAAAAAGTAGAGCCAGGAGTGCCAGCAGGATACCCTAGAAGAGGAGGATTGGGGCTGCTCTGTGCAAAACCATTGCACAGAGCAGGTAAGTATGACATGTTTGTTAAAAAAAAAAGTTTACAATCACTTTAAAAGGTCAGTGTTAGTGATAGAGGGGACTACAGGTTAATGTTAAGTGAAACCAACAGTGATGAACTCCGGGACACTAAAAATTAATTTAAAGGGGGATCACAGTAACAAATCAAATATTAGGAATTAAAGAATATGTAAACCTAACATTTCATATTCCTGATATGCACCTGCTGTACTTGTATGAAATTATCCTGTTAACATTGTATTGTTTCCTTTGTGTGAAATCCATGGTGTTCCTGCCAGTCTCCTTTCCACAGTATGTGCCCATTTGTGCCCCCTTAACATAAAATGTGCCCATCAGAGTGCCCCTTAAGCTAAAATGTGCCCATCAGAGTGCCCCTTAAGCTAAAATGTGCCCATCAGAGTGCCCCTTAACATAAAATGTGCCCATGAGAGTGTCCCTTAACATAAAGTGTGCCCATCAGAGTGCCCCTTAACATAAAATGTGCCCATCAGAGAGTGCCCCTTAACATAAAATGTGCCCATCAGAGTGCCCCTTAACATAAAATGTGCCCATCAGAGTGCTCCCTAACATAAAATAAGAGGCATGCTAATGAGCACTTTTTATGTTAAGGGGCACTCTGATGGGCACATTTATATTAAGGGGCACTCTGATGGGCACATTTTATGTTAAGGGGCACTCTGATGGGTACATTTTATGTTAAGGGGCACTCTGATGGGTACATTTTATGTTAAGGGGCACTCTGATGGGTACATTTTATGTTAAGGGGCACTCTGATGGGTACATTCTATGTTGTGCCCATCAGAGTGCCCCTTAACATTCAATGTGCCCATCAGAGTGCCCCTGTAAGACTACACTCTACCTTAAGGGCAGACAGGAGCTGGGACGGGATCCTTGCTGGACGCTTGTGTACAGGCAGGGAGCGGGAGACGGAGAGACAGTGAGCTAAAAGGGGCAGGGCACACAAGTGATGTCATGTTGCTGTGACAACCACGCTGCTCAGCGGCAGATCTGTCATTACGGGCTGGGCGGCAGCAATGCTGGGGCTGTTCGCGGACTGCCATTTAGTGACCGCTGCTATAGAGTGAAATTAGAGTATGCATTGTGGTGGGTGAGCTTTTACCTTACAATGCAAGCAGTCACTGCATATGTGCGAATAATGGCACTTTCGTGCTAAAGATCCTCCCCCTTTGCTGAGGGCATCCAGGATCATGTCACCACTTGCATCACTGCATTGGATGAAGCTACCGTCATGCACCATGCAGTATACACAGAAGAGAGGAGAAAAAAGAAAAATGCTAGGAGCCAGGGAGAACATTTTTTTTGCATATCTCTTCTGCCAAAAAACTCCTGGGATTATAGTTCAGTATTAATCTCAGGGAATTAGGTTCAATGGGTCAGTTGAGGTCCGTTAAAGTATTTATTGTCAAAGTCAGGGGCTCTGTTAAGGTTAGGTGCTGTTTAGATATTGGGTCTAGGATTAATTTTTTAACATTTTTTAAAAAAACTTTTTTTAAAGTGTTAGTGAAAGATTAAATAACACATTTTAAATGCAAGACTGCATCATTATGTTGTTTTTTATTTTTCCCATAGTCCTAATTTACGAATATCAAGGAAATATACTGCTACCGCTCTTTCAAAACAAAATGAACTTTCAGCAAAAAAGCTAGGTCACTGTGCCATTTTCAACATACCAGCATGCTGAGAGGGTCCACAAGATGAGCTGCAATGCTCATTTCATATTCAGTGAGCTTAACGTTCTTTACACCAATTTGTCTCATTAGTTTCTCAGCCTGAAAAGCAAAACAGAAACACAAAACAGCTTCATCATTAGGTAAACAAAACACATTTAAGCACTCTACCCAATATACACAAGTACATCCTGGCATTCATACTATGTTGGTTTAATATTTATATTGTATCTGGGTGAGTTTGCCCTGGGTCAGTTCAAAGAAATTTTGTTTTAAGTAAATGCAAGTGCAGTGCACCCTAATTTTCTAAAGTGTAACTGTAGTGATGTAACTAACCCTAAGTAACTTGGGGTGCTGCTCCAGACAAACATCCTTCAGGTCCGGTAACTCCTACTCACGGGTGCAGGCGGCTAAGGAACCTGTTCATTGGTTCTGTAGCATATATTGGAAAGGAAGAAGCAATGCTGCACACCAACCCGGCCCAAAAGGGGAATCAACAAGACAGCTTCAGCCTGACTCCACCCAAAAGCCCCACCCCTATTTATTTCACCCCACCCATGGGGCGAAATGCACTGGGGTTGAGGCTTAGGTGGAGTCAGGCTGAAAACGTCTTGATTCCCCTTTCAGGCCAGGTTGGTGTGCAGCTGTGTTTCTTCTTTTCCTGTATTGATGTAACACCTCTAGGTGCAATCTGCATGTAGTGTCAGTTTTCTTACCAAGGTAGACCCTAACCATATGCAAATACCAACTTCAACCAGAAAAGGGATGGGCAGCCACTGAAACCAACCTGGAGGAGTGGTAAGGCTAGGGCAAATACTAATTGCCCACACCCACATATGTAAACAATGTTCAAACCACAAATGTGAGGTATCGCCACACACTTTTTTTTTTAATTACATTTGTTTTTTTTGCACTGTCCCTTTTTAAAAAATATTTTAATCAATTTTATCCCTATCACAAGGAATGCATACATCCCTTATGATAGAAATAATTAGTGACAGGTCCTCTTTATTGAGAGATATGGGGTCAATAAGACCCCACATCTCTCCTCTACAATGTAAAGCATTAGATCAAAAAAAGCATTGATCTAGTGCTTTAAAAAAAAAAAAAAAAAAACTGGAAGAGACATTGCCCCGGTCCTCCAAGGGCATAGAGCTGAGTAGAGGTCATCTTTCTTCACTAATCTCTATGCCGAGTGCCGGGATTGTTCAATGGTTTCTCAGGTAAGGCTGAGAACTACCAAGCAGTAGCCAGTGGCGGCACCAGCGGCGAAGGCGGTGGGTTTTTTTTCGGCACCTGAAACATTTCGGCCACAAAAATTTCAGTGCAGCCCTGCTATCAACCAATCCCGGCATGCCAGGGTGCAAGGGGTAATACTGGATTCTGAACTATCCTTTCAGGCCCACATCCAATCTCTGTACAAATCATACCGCCTCAACATCTACAGAATATGCCCCTTTTTAACCAATGATACCACAAAGCTCCTAAGTCACTCCCTGGTTATCTCTCGCCTCGACTACTGCAACTCCCTCCTCATTGGCTTACCTTTACATAGGCTATCCCCCCTCCAGTCCATCATAAATGCTGCCGCCAGGCTCATCCACCTTACCAACCATTCAGTGTCTGCTACCCCTCTCTGCCAATACCTCCACTGGCTTCCACTCGCCCAAAGAATAAAATTCAAAATACTAACAACTTACAAAGCCATCTACAACTCTCCCCCCAGCGACATCACCAACCTGGTTTCAAAATATCAACCAAACCGCTCTCTTTGGTCATCCCAAAACAGTCTGCTCTCTAGTTCCTGTCACCTCCTCCGATCCTAAAGAATTCCCTACCCCAATCTGTCTGGCTATCTCCTAATCTATCCAACTTTAGACGATCCCTGAAAATCTCTCTCTTTAAAGAAGCCTATCTTGCTTCTAACTAGTAAACTGCCATTTATTTCCTCCATCAGCTCATCCCCCCACAGCTATTACCTTTTGTATCACTCAACCCTTCCTCCTAGATTGTAAGCTCTAATGAGCAGGCCCTCTGTTTCCTCTTCTACCAAATTGTATTGTAAATGTAATGTCTGCCTTTCTGTAAAGCGCTGCGCAAACTGTTGGTGCTATATAAATCCTGTATAATAATAATACAGTATGTACTTCAACTGTGAGCTGCTGATTTACTGCCTGGAGGTTCCTCTTGAAGAAACAATACCAGACAGTACAACAATGTTGCTATTGACAACACCATTATTCCTACACAATTAGCCCCGGTGGGTCATTTGATGTAATATTTATGATGATCTTTTACAATGACAATATTTTACCTGCTTCTGAGCTTCGATCTTCTGTTTTCTGGTAGGATCTATGGCATCAACCATCCATTTAATTGTGAAATAGGTGACTGCTCCAAATATTGTCAGTCTGAAGATCAAGCCAACAACTTCATTCCGGCTTAGAGGGCGAGAAAAGGCTTCTGTGTGGACCATTTTCTACAGTACAAGGCAAAGTAAAAGTTTTTAGAGCTACATCCCCACCTGGTGGCTACAGGCAGTAATAAAACTATTCTTGTAAAAGCAGAATCTGCAAATAGCTTTGTTTAGTGTTTATGAGGCTGTGCCTTCTGAAGTATTCAAGTATAACTTAAGGCAAAACTTTTTAGTTTGGGAAAGAATGGAGATGGCTTAGAACACCTGTCAGTTTTTTTGCTGTCTGTGCCCCCATCGGGGAAATTCATCATCTCTATTTGTCCTGTTAACATTATCACTAAAAGTGAAAGTAAAAAAAAACAAAAAACAAAACACAAAAACAAAAAAAAACAACTTTTTGGTTATCCACAAAGGAGAGGAGTAATAGAGGGAACACTAGTTTACAGGGATTTCTCTTACTGTTTTGGCTATGGGACAGGAAGTGATGGCAAAAAATAAATTGTCAGGGGTTATAACACTCCCTAAGCCCCAGTTCACATATATGCGGCCGTGCGGGCTGCATTTTGCGTGGGAACGAGAGTCCATTCATTTGAATGGACTCCCGTGCCCCATAACACGCAGGGAAGAAGTTCCTGCACTTCTTCCGTAAACTCAGCCCACACAGGACCCTCGGTTCCCAGTACGGTTGTGTTTTCCAGTGCGGATGGCGTGCCATTAGAACTAATGGCAACTGCCCACGGGTTTGCATTACTCTGTGCGGGTGGTGCGGCTGCATGGATTTTCATGCGGATCCGCAGCGGCACCACCTGCACAGATGTAAACCTAGCCTTACTCTATCCAAAGTGAAAACAAGTATTCCCTATAGCTCCACATTAAGCAAGGATATACATTAGCACCTAAAGGACAGCCCCTACATTTACCGTGAATGCAAGTTATAATGCACAAGTGCACTGCCATGCAAGTCACTTCATTTAATGTAAAGTGAAACTAAACTGGTTTAAAAAGGAAATTCCATTCAGGTATGTATTCTGAACTCAAAAATGCACCATCTATTGCCTTCAGCTTCCAAATCCATTTTTTTTTGTGTTGCTGAGATCTGACTTTCTGTTAGAGGGTGTATGTAGGAACATAGCCACCCTCTCTAGCTCGCCCTCTGAGATGGACTATGGGATTTGTACTGTGCATAGAACAGTGAACATAACCACAATGTGTACTGCTTGTTCCAAACAAACAATAGCGAAGGTGAAAAGGAGAGGTCCAGGAGCTCACAGAGGATGTTACAAGGTGGCAGAAACAGTGTGAAAAATACAATACATGGTCATTAACCACTTCAAGTCCGGACACTTTCACCCCCTTCCTGTCCAGGCCAATTTTCAGCTTTCAGCGCTGTCACACTTTGAATGACAATTGCACGGTCATGCAACACTGTACCCATATGAATTTTTTAGCATTTTTTTTTGAGACAGATAAAACTTTATTTTGGTGGTATTTATTCACCACTGGGATTTTTTTTTATTTTTTTTGCTATATAAATGAAAAAGTCCAAAAATTTTGAAAAAATGTTCTTATAAAATTTTGCAAATAAATAATCTCTCTTCATAAATCTTGGCCAAAATGTATTCAGTTGTCTTTTTATTAAAAACAAAATAACCCAAATTAGTTTATAACCAAAATTTCTGATTTTTAACATTTTTTTTTAATTTTTTATATTATTATGTTTTGTTTTTTTTACATACTGTCACCCTAGCAGTCCAGTGTCACCATGGTGACACTGTACTACTTGTGGGGGGTTATGAAGATTTTTTTTTTTTTACACACTGATTGCTTTTACACCCATAAAGGCTGTAAAAGCAATCATTTCTCCTCCTCTCTGGCTGCATTCTTGCAGCCATTGAGCAATACTGTGTGAGCTGTGATTGGTCACAGCTTGTCACATGGTACAAGGCTGTTGTGAATAGCCTTGTACCATGTGACCTCTGTGATCATTCACAGATTTCACACGTAGTAAGCAATGATGTCAGAAGTGACATCTTGCTTACTACTCTTCATGTGTTCACTGATTGGCCAATCAGTGATCACATGATCAGGACCTCACACAGAGGTCCTGTACAACAATTGGTGTTCAACTGAGGACACAGTGGGCACCGGATCGTGGTGCTGCACGCTCCCAGGCAACGCACACAAGCAGAGGACGGGGAGGTCGCTTTTAAACGGCCACCCGCCCCTGCACTGCTCCCGTCCAGCCATTTATATACATGGGCCAGGCGGGAAGTGGTTAAGTAATGGAAGCTTTTTTGGCCATACGTCTCTTGTGGGTCAGAGGAGTGCACTGTACACAGAAGGTTTTTTACCTTCATGCATTGAATACATTAAGGTATAACACCTTGAGCCTTTAGAACCACTTTAAGTAAGGGGCAGGTGACTTATGTATCATTTACTTCCTGGAATCCATCTGCTCTTAGCTCAGGCATAGGCTGTGCTGGGAACTATCCCTCCCCCCGCCTAGGATGTATGACATCATTTGCCTAGGCATGGAAACCAGGAAATAACTGGAAATGTAAAAACAAGTAACCATAATATACTTTCCTATCTATTGACTAAGGCTAGCAGCATAAGGATTACAATTAGTCTGTGTTGATTGAGAGAGTGAAGTTCCACTTTAATGAAGTGTTAATTTACACTCACAGATCTCTCTCCTGTCAGCTGCTCCGACAATCGCAGAGTCCTGGCCATGAAATCTCTTGGCAGGACCCGTTGATTGACACCTACAGAAGCCAATCTCAGTGAAGGTGGGAGGGCAATCACGCTCGTATATATACACCTGGTTTCGTGCAGACCGGCAGCACTTTAGCAGTAAAACTGCTACAGTGTGGTCGGCAAGTGGATAATTGACAAGTGTTCTAATCCATCTCTACTTTATACAAAACCAAAAAAAAAAGTTTTTTCCTTTAACCTATTGGCGCCGGCCGCACGCAAATGTGCGGTCTCCCGGCGTCTGGGCCTTGTCGCCAAGTGGCCGCACATTTGCGTGCAATAAAGAAAAACATGTGCTGAGAGCGCACTCCCAGCACACATGTCCGGTAATCACGGAAAGCTCCCGATCGGGACCTTTCCAGATCATGTGACTGTTGTGACAGCGAATCCCTAAAACCCCACCCACCTCCAGGCTTCTGAAACCCTTAAAGGGCCGGGAGGCCCCAGCGCCAAGGGGTTAAAGGCCCCATTCAAACCGGGCAATAGTATCTATGCTCCAGGCAGGGCCATGTTTTGTCAGCAGGGGGATGCACAGGAGTTCTGTGCAGGAAGTCCCATTCATGTCTATTGGCACACAGCGATTGTTCCCAAAGTGACATCCATTCAGGTGTATGGAGCTGAACACAACCAGGGTGGGTTTGGGGCCATGGGTGTCATACTAGAACACCACGGCCATGTCTGTACGATCGCTGAGTCCCTACAGACATGAACGGGACCGCCTGTACAGGGAGTCATGGAACACCTCTACATCCCCATGCTGGTAATCACCCCGTGTGAATGAGGCCCAATGGTTACGGATTTGTGACATTAAATGGGAATCAGAATTCATAAACAGTCAACTTCGACCTTCTAATACAAAATGGCCAATACTGAGGGAAGAACCCCAATAGAAGGTGAATTGATGAAATGTATGAAGCACTGTGTGCGCTCCTTCTGCGGGAATACACGGAGCCAGCCTCCTCTCCTTGGACCTGCAGACACACACAGGCGAGCACCGGGTACAGGCCAGGAAGAGGCAGCCCACTGCACACAATGGCCTCTGACACACAGCTCAGCACCCAGAAAACTGACAGCACCGTGCACCCCTGTGACCTTCCCCCCGGCTGTCTGTCCCCTGAGCCCGGCCAGCTCCTCCATACACCCGGCACCGAGCGAACACACAGCCACGTGAGCTCATACAAGGCCTCATATCACGGCCAAGGTGAAAGCACTCACCGGCTTGATGACACCACCGATCCAGGAAGTGCAAACCAAAAGCAGCAGTGACAGGACGAGTGCACTCACAATGTCTTCCCCAGGAACCAGCTACACTTCAGTTCCGCTATAACATTCGTAGGACGCTTCAGTGTGTACACTGCGCATGCGCTCTGCTTCCCTAAACTGCACGACCTACAATGGATAGAAGAGCCCGTGTCCTGCCTTAAAGGATAGGTTCACCTTTTTACCAGAAATAATAAATGCACTTTTTTCATTTTGCAGGTAAAATGTGCATTTATTATTTTTTGAGCCTGGAAAGTATTGAACCAGCAATCAGCAGATGACTGGTGCCATGCAGGTCTCCTGCACACTTGTCAGTATATCTGCTTTTCCATATTGGATGTATGAGCCAGCAGATATACTGACAGGAAGAATCAATGAACTACCATGGCGTTCCACAACACTGTGATAGTTCATTGAGAACTACAAGCCCACAGCCGCAAAGGCTTGTAGTTCATTCACTTACAGAACTCTGTGAATGAATGACACTGTCGGCATTTTTTTAAAATTGTGACAGCGGGGAGGAGAAGATCCCTTGCTAGCTGTCACAACAGGGAGCTGGGGGGGGGGGGGGGGGGGGGGGGAGTAGGGCCGGTCCATTCGTAACATGTTACAACCTGAATATGGGTGCAACGTGTTACAAAAGCTGAACATATCCTTTAAAGTGGAACTTTATTCATCACAATTGCTAAAAAATAACATTCTTCAGCAAGGAGCATACATTACACACTAATAATTCTGCTACCGAAATGAGTGTGTGCTGTAAATTGCTTCCAGCTTCTGTCTCTTTTTGCTGGAGGCTGCCATTATGCTGAATCCCAGAGCCCCTGAGCAGCAGTAAAAGCAGAACTAAACCCACCTATGCTTATCAGCAAAGGAAGCTGCTTCTGTTTGATCTGCAACTGCCATTTTGCTGCACATGTGATCAGTTATGACACCAGCCGTTTGATAGTTTAACACTTTGGTTTAGAGCACAAATGTGACAGCATTCTTGGAATGTCAGGAATGTAACTGTTTTTTTGAAACTGTTAAATCAATAATTTTAGTTC